TCAAATGGAGCCTGGAAGAGTCAAGAGATGGAATGAGGAGAAGTGCTTGGCCACTGGAGGTTGGTGGCACAGGATGTGGGAATGCAGCGTGGAGGGAACAGATATCCCAAGTGTCAGCTCTCCCAGGAAGTGTTTTGGGATTATAAAGAAGGCTGGAGAGAGACTTTGGACAAGGGGATGGAGTGACAGGACAAGGGGGAATGGCCTTGAGCTGAAGGAGGGCTGGGGTAGATGGAATTTGAAGAAGAAATTCTTGGCTGTGAGGGTGATGAGGCCCTGGCACAGAGAGAATGGGAATGTCCCATCCCTGGAAGTGTCCAAGGCCAGGTTGGACAGGGCTTGGAGCAACCTGGGCTAGTGGAAGTTGTGCAGGATTGGAATGAGATGATCTTTAGGGTCCCTTCCAACCCAAACCATTCCATGATTTTGGATCAAAACCCCACTCTTGAGAACACAGGGAGAATTTCTTTCCTTCCCATCCTGTGTGACTCCTGAGGGACACACAATCCAGGCAGATTCCAGCTCCTCTCTCAGCAGAGCTGGAATATTCCAGCAGTGTTGGCTGAATAATCCCAACCAAGAGCCACCCAATTGTTTTGAGGTGAGGACACCCCAGGTGGTCCCTTTGGATCAGGTCAGGTTTGGATCACTTGGAGTTTTGAGGAGCATCCAAAAACTTCTGAATCCTGCCCTGGGAACCAGGTTCTGCTCTGCTGTGGGATTTTTCCTGTGCCCATCAGGCAGGGGACTTCATGTCTGAATGGTTGCTGGAATTGTGGAGGCAACATCAGAAATTCCTAAAAGAAAGATGGAGAGGAACTTTTTCCAAGGGTCTGGAGCGCCAGGACAAGGGGAATGGTTTTAAGCTGAAGGAGAACAGGGTTAGATGGGATGTTGGGAAGGAATTCTTCCCTGTGAGGATGCTGAGGAGCTGGGATAGAATTCCCAGAGAAGCTGTGGCTGCCCCTGGATCCCTGGAAGTGTCCAAGGCCAGGTTGGAGCTCGGAGCAACCTGGGAGAGTGGAAGGTGTCCAGGGTTGGAACAAGATGGTCTTTAAGGTCCCTTCCAGCCCAGAGCAGTCTGTGATTCCATGATGCCATGAAGTCCAAACACCTGGGTTTGGAGGTGCAACACTCCTTAGTTCACCTGTTCTGACATTTCCTCAACAGAAAAATAAGGGAACTTGGATATGGTTGAATCTCCATAACAGAGACCTCTGGAGTGTCTCTCCAGGGGGATGTCCCAGCTGGAAGGGAGGGTTTGCAGCTGTGGGAAAAGGAGGGAAGAGGATTCCCTGGCTGGGGAAATCAGAACATCTTCTGTCTGAACAGAACAGTTGTTTGACTCCTGGTTTCTCAGGCACTTCCCAACCCTCAGGAACTCATCCCTGGAATGCCCACCCAGGGAGTGGTGTCTTTGCTAAGGTGTTATTTTCAGTGTGGAGGATTTAATTGAAGTTATAGTTTTAATGTGGAGGAGTTAACTCATTAGTAGATCAGAGAGAAGTGGTAAATCAGAGTAGATTCCCGAATTTATTGGGCATTCAGGCTCCAAACAGGGCAGGTGGGCTGGGAAACCACGAGAAGCTCTTCTGGGTGCCTTGGTGTCCTGGAGCTCTCAGGCACCACCCAGGCACAGGGTGGAGCTTCCCAAAGCTGTGTTTTCCAAGGGGGAGCTGCTGGGCTGTGGAATCCCAGCCCTGCCACCTGCCCAGGGCCTGTCAAACCCCCTGTCCTTCCCCAGGGAGCTGCTCCTGTCACTCAGCTCCCAAAAAAGCTCGGGGGGGTCATTTGGGAAGCCGAGACACCGCCGGGCACACGAGCCTGCTGGAGGTGAAGGTTTGTCCTGCTGGGTGGAAGCAGGCTGTCTAATTCTCTTTCAACTTTAATCCCCATTTCTCCAAGATCTGATTTGGCTTTAATTCCCATTTCTCCAAGATGATCCCTCCCCACTGTGTGACTTCAGGAGCGTGACGCGTGTGCCGGAGTCGGTGTCACCCCGCGGCCGAGATGGTGGCATTCAACTGGAAGGTGAGGCTGCTCCACATTCCTAAAGCTGCTGTGTCTGTAAAAATCTGTGAAATCTCTGCTTTTGCTTTGATTCAGAACAAAAATTTCTCTACTCTTCCAATAGAAAATAATTACGGAGAGAAAGTCACCTTTCCCCGTGTCCTTTTCCAGGAGATTCACTGGGGAGTTCCAAATTCCACTGGATAATAAGGTGATAATCTCCAAAAGAGAGCAGCCTCCAGCCTGCTGGACGTGACAGAAGTGCCTTGCACTGCACACTTTGTGTGTATATTCAGGGAAAAGCTCAATCT